CGTAATGATAATAACCCCAAAGTGATGCTGGCATATTGTGATAATTGTTCTATTTTATTATTGTTGTTAATCTCTAACTGCACCTAATTTATAAAGCAAACTTTTTTTTTTTTTTTTTTTTGAGACAGAGTCTCACTTTGTTGCCCAGGCTAGAGTGAGTGCCGTGGGGTCAGCCTAGCTCACAGCAACCTCAAAGTGGGCTTAAGCAATGGGCTTAAGCAATCATTCTGCCTCAGCCTCCCAAGTACCTGGGATTACAGGCATGCGCCACCATGCCCGGCTAATTTTTTTCTATATATTCTTAGCTCTCCAAGTAATTTCTTTGTGTTTATAGTAGAGATGGGGTCTTGCTCTTGCTCAGGGCTGGTTTCAAACTCCTGACCTTGAGCAGCCTCCCAGACTACTAGGATTATAGGTGTAAGCCACAGCACCCGGCCTATAAAGCAAACTTTTTTTTTTTTTTTGAGACAGAGTCTCACTTTGTTGCCCAGGCTAGAGTGAGTGTCGTGGGTCAGCCTAGCTCACAGCAACCTCAATCTCCTGGGCTCAAGCGATCCTCCTGCCTCAGCCTCTTGAGTAGCTGGGACTACAGGCATGCGCCACCATGCCTGGCTAATTTGTTCTATATATATTAGTTGGCCAATTAATTTCTTTCTATTTATAGTAGAGACGGGGTCTTGCTCTTGCTCAGGCTGGTTGAACTCCTGACCTCAAGCAATCCGCCTGCCTCGGCCTCCCAGAGTGCTAGGATTACAGGCGTGAGCCACCGTGGCTGGCCAAAAGCAAACTTTTGATAGGTATATATGTATAGGAAAAAACACAATGTACATAGGGTTCAATACAATCCATGGGTTCAGGCATCCACTGGAGGTCTTGAAACATATCCTCTACAGATAAGGGGGGACTTAAGCTACTTAAGATACCAGTACAGGCCTGGCAAGGTGGCTCACACCCGTAATCCTAGCTTTCTGGGAGGCAGAGGTGGGAGGACAGCTGCAGCTCAGGGATCTGTTCGACACCAGCCTGAGCACAGTAAACCCGTCTCTAGTTACATTACAAATATATAAAAAAAAGAAAAAAGAAAAGATACCAGTACAGGTCTGGCATGGAGATAATCCCAACACTTTGGGAGGCTGAGGCAAGAGGATTACTTGAGGCCCAGAGTTCAACACCAGCCTGGGAAACTTAGACTGCATCTCTACAAAATGTTAAAAAATTAAAATGTTCTGGTTTGTGGTCTAGTAAAAAAAAAAAAAGAAAAAAAAAAGAAGAAAAGCATTTAAAAAAATTAAAATAATATTTTAAAAAGTTCTAAAAATTAAAAAAAAAAAGAAAAAAAAGAAAAGACATCATTCAGTTGTGGTGGCATGCGCCTGTAGTCCTAGCTACTCAAGAGGGTGAAGCGGGAGGATTGACTGAACCCAGGAGTTTGAGGTTGTAGGGAGCTGTGATCGTGCCACTGTACTCTAGAGGGGGTGACAGAGAGAGACCCCATTCTCAGCAGCCAGTAGAAAACAGGCACTGGGTGCAACAGCAGTAAAGACAGGCAGCAGCTGGAGGAAGGTGTGTTGGCAGGGGCTCTGAGGACAAGCAAGGCAAGGGTAATAGTAGATTGTTTTAACCAATATATTGCTAAGCGGTCTTTATCTCACTCTTCACTTGCCTTGGCTAACATTCTATCTTTAATTGTGTGATATAATGTGATCTGTGAACATCTAACTCATTGCTCATTTGTGAAATTTGAGTTGGAATAGTTGCTAGGTTTATTTTTATTTTCTAGTGTTTTTTTTTTTTTTTACATTAGAAGAATGAGGAAGTTGCTAGGCTTATATGAGGTCCTTCCAGAGCTGAAACATGACTCCAAGTCATGATTACTGCTTTCAGAGTTTATAATCTCTATTTCCAGTCCAGATTTCTCTCCTTAGCCTCTGAAGCATATTTTCATCTGCCTTACAAAACATTTCTAAAGGTCCCACAGGCACTTCAAAATCAAGACATATCTAACTACTCTCAGGATCACGTCCACTCACCCAGCTATCCTCTTCTGCTTCTTATTTACTGGTAGCTCCATACATTGTCACCACTGCACTCCCACGACCTTTTAAATCATCTTTGTCTTCTTGCTCTTCATCACCTCTCACATCCAGGATTAACTGTGCTTCCTAAAATCTCTCTCACATTGGTTCCTTCTTTACTTCTTTATTTCAAGCTTCATCATCTCTCACCTGAACTATAGCAACAGCCCCCTCACCTATATTCCAGCTTCAAAACCTCTCCTAGTTCAAATTCGTTCCCTACACTTTCCAAGTGATCTTTCTGAAACTATAAATGTAACTTCACTCCTGTTTTAAAACTTTATATGGCTCCCCCATTCACAAAAAGATAAAATCTCTCAGGATTAGCTTCAGGTCTCAGTTCAAAGGTCAGTTCCATTGAAAAGCATTGTCTAACTGAAGCTGATATCACTATCCTATCTGAGGTTGACCTCCCCCATAATTCCATCACCTTGGTTTATTTTACTTATAGCACTTATCATAATCTGTTACCTTTTTTTTTTTTTTTTTTTGAGACAGAGTTCCTTCTGTCGCCAGGGCTAGAGTGCCGTGGCTTCAGCCCTGGATAAATTTTTTCCATATTTAGTAGAGACGGGGTCTCGCTCTTGCTCAGGCTGGTCTCAATTCCTGAGCTCAAGGGATCCTCCTGCCTGGCCCTCCCAGAGTGCTAGGATTACAGGTGTGAGCCACTGCACCCAGCCAAAAATCTATTATTCTCTTGGTCAGTTTATTTGCTTAGGTATTTATCTGCCCTCCCACTTCCCCTTTTGTAAGATCCATGTGGATCAGAGATTTTATTTTTCATAATGGAGAGTCACTCCCCCAGCTTAGCACAGTAATGAGGCACAGCAGGCACACCATAACCATTTGTTGAATGGCCCCTCATCTTTTGCCCCTCATTTAACTTTCCAGGTTTATTTCCACCACTCCCTACTACATACCTTGTGGTTTAGTCACTTAAAGTCTCCCTCTCTCCAAATAAACTTCAAATAATTTGCACTCTTCTATCTTTTCAAATTGTTCCCTCTACCTGATATGCCCTTTTCCTCCTCATGTCCACTTACCAAACCCTTACTTTTCTATTAGGACCTGTCTAAAGTCACTGCTTATGTGAAGTCTACCTTGACTCCATCTTCAAGTATGGTTCCTTTTGAATGTCTTCAGCAAGTAGCAGGGTACTAGCACTTTCTAGGCACTAAATAAATATTCCATCCATTGTGCTATCTAGCTGCCTCATTCCATGAAGGGCTGAAACAAAAGTGGTTTGACGAAACTATTAATCTATACTGAAAACACAGAGGTTTAATGTCTATCTCTTCTTCACTGCCTTCTGAGATGCCTGGCAGAGGACAGTACGAATGGAAAAGTCCCCACTCTTTCATTCATGAAGTACCCCAATGGTGCATTATCTTTATGAAAATTTTTAAGTCCACAGCCTTAATATGTTATTGATTTTTCTGGAAAATGTGGATCTTAGATTTTTAACCTTTTAAGGACAAGGATGCTAGTTGGTCCCCAACAAAGGCCTACCTTGATGACAAGGGAGTAAGAGACTAAAGGGAAGAATTTAGAATCAAATATTAGTTTGTCTCCAGATCATTGCTGTTTGACAGAAATGAGGGCCACATATACAATTGAAAATTTTCTAGTAGTCATATATTAAAGTTAGAAAAAACAGGAGACATTAATTTTAATATATTTTCCTTAATGTAATACATCCAAAATATTATTTTAATTTGTAATCAATATAAAAAATTATCAGTGAGGTATTTCACATTCCTTTGTGCTAACAACTCCAAAATCTGTGTGTATTTTACATTTAGAGCACATATTAAGCGGACTAGCCTCATTCAGGTAGGTACTCAATAGCCAAAAGTGGTAAAGAGCCACACTGCTGGATAGCACAGGCTTAGATCCTGCGCTTTTCCCCATTCTTAGCCATTAGTTCTAGAATGTCAGACAATCTGTGAAGAAAAAGGAAAATCCTTGTCAAATTCCCTGTTCATTTTTGAACTTTGGTTAATGTTGTTTTCCCATATTTACGATTCCTTCCTCTCCCCTCTCCTCCATTAACCTGTGTGACACTGTGTAATTTAGACTGCGTTCTGATTTGAAGAGAGAAGGAATCTGAGGGTAGAGGTTCTGCCTCAGGTACTTTCTTAAACTTTTGCTGGGGAGGCGGGGAGGTAGACTCCCAGGTCCCACCCTAGATAGTTTAAGGGCTAGAAACACAGCCCCGAGAAAACTGTGGCCATAACAGCCGTTGCTAAAATCCCAGAGGTTACTGCCATCGATATTTCTACTGAAGGACAGCTTTATCAAGTTCCACCATTTGTTAAACAGTAAAATTAGCTCGTGTTCCAGAACTCGCTGTCATCACAGTCCTGTCCTGCACATGTATTCATTCAACAAATATGTGAGCGCCTACATGCAAGGCAGCAGGAATACACTGGTGGAGGAAACAGACGAAAAGCTCTTTTTCGTTGGAACTCAGTCTGGTGGGGATAGAGGGAGTCCTGGCAACAGTTCTGCACCAGGCTGCGTGCTAAACACCTGTCTTGCATTATCACATTAAACAGACACAATCCTAGTAGGCATTACTCCTACTCCGCAGTGCAAAGCATGAAGCGGTTGAGTAACTTGCTCCCACGTGACCCCGTTCTAAGCCCCGCGCTCCGGGGAGGCCCACAGGGGACGCGTGGGCGCCCCAGCGCCCCGGAAGCGCCTCCACAGGCGCGGTTCTACGCAGAGCAGCTGCCGCGACCTCAGGTGGCCAAAAGGCGGGACCTCACAATGCACCGGAAGCGGCACCTCATGAGCCTGGGGTCTCTCCGCGTTCTTCCTCGCGCCGTCCAGGCTGCGTCGCCCACGAAAGCGACCCTGCCGGAGGGACAGCCGTCCGCCCAGAGCCTCCCTGACTACTCCCACCCTTCATCTGACACCCACCTCGAAGCGTGAGAGGGTCTGGGTGGAAACTGCCCGGCTGCTGGCCGCCTCACGAACTACGCTTCCCGTGAGGCTTCGCGGAGGCGGGTGGCTGGTGCGCAGGCGCACGCACGGCGTGCGTGGCGGCGTCACCGGTTCTAGAACGTTGCTGTGGTAGCGCTCGGGCGCCATGTTAGGACGAAGGGGAAGGAGGAGAAGCGCTTAAAGCGGCGGGAGCGGGTGCGGGAGTGGGGTTGGACCCAGGGCTGAGGCAGGCCCCCCCCTCCCTCCCGCCTCAGTGGATCATGCCCAGGGCGGCAGCGGCGGCGGTTGCGGGGGGGAAGTGACTGGGCGGTGCCGGCGCAGGAGACGATGCCGTTGTAAGTGATTTGTATTCTGTTTTCTCTCGCACGCCTGCTGGGCCTTGGGGGCGTCCGGGACGGGGGAGGGGGCGCGCGTGAGCCGGGCCTTTGCCCCGTGGGGGAGGCAGGCCGGGCCGGGCCGCTCCTGTTTCCTCACCCGTTCGCCGCCGCACTTCCCCCTTCTGCTCGGTTCCCGCGTTCCCCCACCCTTCCTGGCTGGGTCAGCTGCCGTCGGGCCCGGGGCCTTCCCCTTCCGGAGGAACCCCTGACCCTACTTAATGTTACAGCTTCTCCGCCCCGTCAAAAAAAAAAAAGAAAAGAAAAGAAAGAAAAAGCCAAAAGACAACAAAAAGCTGGGGCGGCAGGGAAAGAAGGCCTGGCCCCACGCGGGATCTGCACTCAGGGTTCAGCCTCGCCCTGGGCGCCTCTCGAGCCCATTTCGATGCTTCTGGGCTTAGTCTGCCTCCGCTTGATCCCTCGCTTCCTCGCGTTTCCAGGATGCCCATATTGTGCGCCTACTTTCTATTTTCCTTGTCCGAATGTGCATAAGCACGAGTTAAAAGTCCAGTTTGGAGCGTCGAGCCCCACAATTTGAGCTCTTTATCCCCACGCCCGCCCCAGTCCTCCCCAGCCCTTCACCGTCAGGGGAGAGGGCACTTCCCGGGGTGCCCTCCTCGGAAATGTATTGTTGTATGTATTGCTCTCGCTGTTCTGTTTTGATGAGATATCCCGGCTGCACTTTTGTTTCTTCCTTCCTTCATCTGTAGTGATACTTTTTTTATTTTTCTGTAGCTTAAAGCTACATTTATGCCTTCTAATCCCACTACGCCTATAGTTTTCCTTTTTTTTTTTTTTCTCAGATGGTTTTTTTTTTTTAAGTTTTCTCTTTTCTCCTTTCTGAGAATGAGATGTAATTTGACAGCTTATTGTTGGGATCAAAAAGTAGATTACACATTTTTTTTCTGTGTGTGTACAGCAGGGTAGAGGCCTACATGGTGAGACTGCATTTCTTCCATTTTTAAAGATTGAAGTGTAAGAGCGCCCCGTTGAGAGGAGGGACCAAGTTTTCTTCATTTCGGAGTCCCTAAATGGAGCATGTAATTGACACTCAAAGTTTTGCTTCAATTAAGTCCAAAATAAAGGTCTTTATGCCTTCCAGACACTTAATGTAGTACCTCAAGGTTGTTATGTTATGTTATGTTATGTTATGTTTTTTAAGTGAAGACAATTTCTTTTTTGCAAATATCATAGGTTAGTTTTACAGTAACATGTTATTGTGTGTATATGTGTGTGGATGTCTCTTCACCGGTGAGACTCTTAACTTTGACACAGGCCATAATAACATCTTTCAAATGTTAACATATTTTAAAAATGGCACCTTCTTTCTCCTGCCCCAGCCCCACTTACCCACCCCTGTCATCTTGTTAAGAGGCCTATTAAATTATTCTTTCTGCGATGAGAACATTTGTTAGGCTTAATTAAATATGCAGATCTACAATCTTAGAATCTACAAGATCCCTGTTAATGGAGTCATCATTTCATGGAATGGTAAGAAGATACACAGAGAGACTCGAATCTGAAGATTTTAGTGGCATATCTCAGGATTTAAAATAAACTTAAACGTTTGCAGTGATGCCATGTAGTGACCTTATTAGCTTATATTTTGTTGTAGTTTTTGAAAATTGTGATAATTATATCAGTATTAAAAATAATAGGGCTAGGCAAGGTGGCTCGCGCCTATAATCCTAGCATTCAGGGAGGCCCAGGGGAGAGGATCACTTGAGCTCAGGAGTTAGAGACAAGACTGAGCAAGAGTGAGACCGTCTCTACGTGGTGGCAAGTGCCTGTAGTCCCAGCTACTCAGGAGGCTTAAGCAGGAGGATTGCTTGAGCCCAGGAATTTGAGGTTGCTGTGAGCTAGGCTGCCTAAAGAAAAATAGACCTGCTTCCTCATTAATTTACTATCGTGTTCTGGTGCCACAGTCATTAATTTTATTTAATGTACTGAATTATGATTTTCTAGCTATATTGTGTTTGACATTCATTTTTAGTATGCCTGTCCTGTTAAATTTGCATGAGTGAGTGAGGTTGGGGCGTGGACCATAGGTGAGTTGTCAGGATCAATTAAATAGATTATTGACATTGAGGGTATAATAAGACATTTTTCATCAAGTATTCATATTTTGTCTAAATTTCATAGGTAGCTACATATATAATTTTGAAAAGGCTGATGTGGTTTAAGAGTCATGGTGGTGAAGCTTCCAAAGATTTTGATTATCTTAGGATCTATTAATACATGGTTTCTCACCATTGACAGGCCCGAAAATGTCTTGGAGGGGGCTGTCCTTAGTATTGTAGGATGTTTAACAGCTTCCTGGGCCTCTACTTACTATACTAAATCCAGGAGCCCTACCCTCCATCTCCCCAGTAGTGTCAACTAAAAATGGCTCCAGATACTGCCAGGTGTACTCTGGTTGAGAACCACTGCGTTAATACAAAGTGTCATGCCCTTATGGAATCTATATTTGTATTTCTGCTCTACTCTGTTGGTGAGATTATTATTTGCATCAACTCAGTTCTGGCTATCACACTTGTAATTGAAAAAAGAAAAACCATAAAGAAGAGTAACTAGTATGAATCAGTAATCTAACATTTATGCCACATTTGTAGAATGTCCTTGACGTACTGAAAGAGATATTTAGCAAGCCTTAGGGGAGACAATAGCTTCTCCCAAATGTTTGTGGGGGCTGTCATAAGAAAGAGGGATTTGAAGTAGTTTCTTGTATTCATAACTGGTAGAACTGGGGTCTGCTGGTGCGTGTTATGCTGTGTAGCAGTGCTTCTCTGAGTGATCTGTGGATGTTTTGGGAGGGGGCCACTAAGATCCTACGTAAGGATTCAAACTATTTTCATAATAGCTGAGATGTTTTGTCTGTCTTATTCTGTTGACTTTTACGCTGATGATGCAAAAGCAGTGGTGGGTAATGTGCTTGTGCTTTAGGAACAGTCAAGGCAGGGGGTCCATATTGTATGTCTTCGTTGTGTTTCTTCACTACTGCACACAGATGAAACAGTAAGAGAATGTTAATTTTATTAAGTCTTGACCCTTGAATTTGTCCTTTTAATATGCTGTGGAAAGTGTATGTAATATGGAAAGTACATGTAAAGCTGCATACTGGAAAGTAGAACGGTGGTTTTGAGAAAGATGACTTGTATGATTTGATTTGTGAACTAAATTGGTGTTTTTTTCACACAGCTCCAATTTTATCTAAAAGAGCAAGTGATGAATTGTGGATATTCATACTTGAATATTTAAGTGAACATTTACTTGAGAATAAAGTGAGCCTGTCACTTCAAGGAAAACAACTGGCAGTATTTGTGGCCAGTGAAAAATTTTAGCTTTGAAGCAAAAATTAGGATTTTGGGAAGTTTGTTTCATCATTTTGAGCTTAATAGCTTCCTAATACTTAAAGCTATTTCTGATATTAATGAATATAGTTGATACTGTATGATGTGTGCTAATATTTGGAAGATATGTAATTCAGTGAGCACTTATTTATCAAATGATGAATCATGAAGTACTAAAAACGTGGATAAAATGCACATTCAAAGTGCAAGGTAAATCAGATTTTTTTTTTTTTTTTTTTGAGACAGAGTCTCACTTTGTTGCCCAGGCTAGAGTGAGTGCTGTGGCGTCAGCCTGGCTCACAGCAACCTCAATCTCCTGGGCTCAGCGATCCTACTGCCTCAGCCTCCCGAGTAGCTGGGACTACAGGCATGCGCCACCATGCCCGGCTAATTTTTTGTATATATATTTTTAGTTGGTCAATTAATTTCTTTCTATTTTTGGTAGAGACGGGGTCTCGCTCAGGCTGGTTTCGAACTCCTGACCTTGAGCGATCCGCCCGCCTCGGCCTCCCAAAGTGCTAGGATTACAGGCGTGAGCCACCGTGCCCGGCCGGTAAATCTGATTTTAATGCAACAGAGTACAAAGAGTTTATTGATAAGGTTTTAGCTTTCATATTGTGACTAATACTTAAACTACCACTTGTGGAGTTCTGGTATAATATCAGAGAAGACTGTCCACAGTTATTTGAAAAGGCTGTTAAAATACTCTTTTCCAGTTATAATGTCAGTTTGATGCCAAGTTTTCTTCATATGCTTCAACCAGGATGATTTATCAAAACGGATTGAATGCAGAAGCAGATATGAGAATCCAGCCATCTTTGATTTATCAAGAATTAAAGAGATTTGCAAAAATGGAGAATGCTATTCTCACTATATTTTTTGTTTTGGAAAACAGTTTTTTTTTTTTTTGAAGTTATTTATGTTAACATGTAATAGGTTTCTTGTGATTTATTTGTTTTTTTTTTATTTCAGCATATTATGGGGTACAAATGTTTAGGTTACGTGTGTTGCCTTTCCCCCTTTCTTGTTATTTAAATGAATAAATATTTTAAAAAGGTTATCGGTTATAATGTCCAATGCAATAAATACTGGTAGCCGTAATCCATATAAATACAAGATCTTTGGGATACTCAATACATTTTAAGAGTTGAAAAGGGGTCCTGAGACTAAAAAGTTTGAAAACTTGAGAACTGCTTGTTGAGAATAGCTGCTCCAAGATGGAGTAGGCTATTTCCAGTGGTGGTGTAAGTTGCTCTTTTGCAACATCTGTGATGGTTTTTGAACACAGTCTGGAGGGATGGACGCCCCCCCCCCCATTTAAAGAAATTTTTTTTGTTGTTAATGAAAAACGGTGT